GGCAAGCTTTTAGGCAAAGGGATATGGTCTTTAAGTTTTATAAATCATAAGGAGTAAATTTTAATAAATTGGTTTTTTTTATATAGAAAGATAATCTTACAAATGAAAACAATGAAAGAAAAACCCGAAAATTTATTGGGTAGCGTAGCCCGAAAGATTACCGGTAGCGTAGCCCGAAAATTTAACGGGAAACTTACTAATATTAAAACAAAACTACCACTAGATAAGGTACTGATAACCTGCAAAAAGTGCGAAAAACCAAACAAAGCAATTCAAAATAGCTAAGCCACCTCCACTAATTTACAGAGGACTCTTCAACAAACAAACGATAACAAACAGGGAGGAAGATGGAGCGAGCTGCAGAACCTTGAGACACACAACCAACAAGGGCTAGGCTAAGGGAAGAACTAACTTCGGAAGACGACCACACTATAGAAACAGGATGAAGATAACACCATCTTTAAGACACAAGGCTCCAAAGCGCATCGACACTTCTTCACTGATACTCTACCCATTACCACTCAATGACATCATCTAGAAGAGATGACCATCTAGGGCACGCTGAAGAAATGCATCCCGATGAAGAAGAATTGGAAAATCCGGTACAAAGGAAACGAGCCCGATGGAAAGGGAAATTTGCCCAAAATGAATCTTCATCACCAAAGAGAAGCCAACCAAAACGCCAACAGCTCCACGCCACTTCACCAAGGAAGAGCCAACGACCAAACAGAGAGGAAAGGCTAAAAGAATCACACATTCTCGACTACACTAATCACAAAACCTAGACCAAAACACTCGAACCTTTAAAGTCTAGTCATACCGATGGCAAAAACCGAACAAGGAAATCAAGACCTAGTCATAAAAAGGGACACTGTGGGGGTCGGATTTCACCCCTATGAGATCGATATGGCGATGAGATCAACTCCACAACATCTTGACAAAATCAAAGCAAATCTAACAAGGCTCAGTCTGAATCTAGGCCCAAAATGATATTAAATCCATAAGCAAAATGGGTTTAATTGAATAATGGGCCTAAATTAGATATATTGCTTAATGGGCTAGGTCTATTTTATTAGCTGGCCCATTTACTTAGAAGTATTATATATAGTCCCTCATTATCACCCAAAAAGGGGATCGGAATTCATGAGCAAAAACTCTTGTAACAGCTTTCTTCACAGCTAATAAAAACTCTCTTGAGATCTTTGTGTTTGCTTGCTTTCGACAGAACTTTACAAACCCTAAAGAATCACTTAGATTCTAATTGTGAGATTCGACCGCCACAGACACCAAAACCAGCATAAACCAATAATCACAAGTCAATTCTAAGAAGATCCGACCAAAGCGAGCTAAAACGCCTCGAATCACAGAACCGACCAAAACGACCTACACGAACTATACCGAAGGCCGACCCATCTTCATGCCATCGCCAAAATTCCACCAGAGCCGGAGATTCCAATATGATGCAGAACAAAGCACTCCCTTTTTCAACCACCGAGAAGATCATATCTGCTAAGCCAAAGACGAAACACAACTACAACAGAAGAAAAAAACTAAAAGTGGAGACCCTCTCACGATATCGGCGGGAAGCGCCAGAGGCCGGAGAAGGCCAACTTGAAACTTGTTGTTATCGGCTTGGGAGAGAAAAAGATCAGCGCGTGGAACTCACGGCTTTTTTGCCYTCCCTCTCCATTGACCTAAACTTGAGTTCTGCCTAATAAATTGGTTAGTTGATGAATTATATTTTATTTTTACCGATATTTCATATCTAAAAAGTGTTTTATTTTTCGCTTCTTCTTCTATCATCAGCATCAATGAGACCGTATAGTGTCACTAACTTTTTATACACAGCCAAAAACCCTCTTTAAACCCTAAAACGCCATCGCCGCTTTCGGAGATGAAATCCATTTTCCGAACCATTTCCAACCACCGTCATTCCGGCCGTCGAACCTTCTCCGACACGGCGGAAGATGCTTACAAATTCGTAAGAGACAGAGGCCTCGACCACGCCGTAGAAAGAGAGAAGAATCTCAGACCACTTCTCAACATCAAGGACCTAATCAGATCGGAACCTTCCAAATCAGTTCCGATCTCAGTCATCACAACTCAGAGAGATTCTCTCCGAATCCCTCTCCGTCCGATCGAATTCATCCGAAGCTACCCTTCCGTTTTCCAGGAGTTTCTTCCTGGAGGAATCGGCATCCATCCTCATATCAGCCTCACGCCGGAAGTTCTCAACCTCGACGCCGAAGAACAATTGGTTTACGGTAGTGAGTCTTACAAACAAGGGTTAGCTGATAGGCTCTTGAAATTGCTTATGATTAATAGGATCAACAAAATTCCTTTGGAAATTCTAGATTTGTTGAAATGGGATTTAGGTTTGCCTCAGGATTACGTTGAAACTATGGTTCCTGAGTTCCCTGACTATTTTAGAGTAATCGAATCGAAGTTACGAGGATGTAGTGGCGAATTAGAACTTGTTTGTTGGAGTAATGAGCATTCTGTATCTGTGTTGGAGAAGAAAGCTAAAGAGTATTCGAAAGGATCGGTGATTGCGTTTCCTATGAAGTTCTCAAACGGGTTTGTGGTGGATAAGAAGATGAAGAAATGGATCGATGAATGGCAAAAGCTGCCATATATATCTCCGTATGAGAGCGCGCTTCATCTGTCTGCGACGAGCGATGAGTCTGACAAATGGGCGGCTGCTGTGTTGCACGAAATCATGAACCTTTTCGTGTCGAAGAAGGTTGAGAAAGATGCGATTTTGCATCTCGGTGAGGTTATGGGGTTGAGGTCGAGGTTTAAGAGAGTTCTACACAACCATCCTGGTGTTTTTTACTTGTCGAGTAAGCTTAGGACTCACACTGTAGTTCTTAGAGATGCTTACAAGAGGGGAATGTTGGTAGAGAGTGATCAATTGGTGACAAGCCGTAACCGTTACATGAAACTCATGAGTAAGGTTAAGAAAGAAAACAATGCAGTGGCT